TTGCTGCCATTACAGGATGCAGCCACTGAGTTTGTGTGTTACCTCTATTAACTAGTGATAACATACCGACTATTACACAGCCCAGGGAGCCGGTGCACTAGGTGACAGGGTTCCTCCTCAGGAAGCATGTGGGCCCACCCTTTTTCAACAAACAGTCTCTGGATGTTATTAGTGCAAAGCAAATCAAACATACACACTCATCGGCTGCATCCTGTGCCCAGAGCTGAACTTGTGTTGGTCACAGCAGCATCTGGTGGATGTTAGGGGAACTGCATGTTAATCATCTGTTTGTCTCTGGTCAGGCCCTGAGGAAGGAGCCCTCTCCCTCTCCTCTTCACACACAGAGAAGCGGAATGTGGATATGGTAACCAAGACAACCGCCTCCCTCAGCTGGCAGAGGGGAGAAGGACATATAGGTGTTAAAGGAGGAGGAGAGCGGAGGAGGAGAGAGGGAGAAACCAAACAACAAACAGGAAGAGGAGGAGGGTTAGGGCCTCCAGACCTGGACCTGGACCAGGTGCAGGAGAAGGCATGGGAGGAGGAACAGAGGAGGGACAAGGGCCTAAAGGAGAGGAGGCAGCTAGAGAAAGAGGAGAGAAGAAGGAAGGAGGAAGAGGAGGACAGAAAGAGAAAAGGTCAGACTGTCAGGCAGAAAAAGCAGGACGATCAGAGAGAGCAGGGGAGGAGGAGCAGGAGCTTACCCAGGAATGGTGCTGGACCCTGGCACACGTTGCTGCCAGAGGTGGGCGTGGAGATGGAGGAGATGGGAGGAGGAGCGAGGGAGAGGAAGAGGAGGAGTGAGATGAAGAGCGGGAGAAAAGGGAGAGAGGCTGACAGAGAGAAGAGAGATGTGAGCGCCACCCTCCATGCAAAGCATTCTGGGAGCTCAGCTGCAGCTCAGAGAGCAGTGTTTTCCTTCCTCATGCCGATGGACGATGACATGCCCCAGCGTCAGTCCGACACCGAATCAGCAGCCAGCTTCTCAGAGATCAGCGAATCAGCAGCTAGCATCGCCACCATGGGCTGGAGGGAGGATTTGGATTGGATAAGAGCTGAGTCGTCATGGCGACAGGAGAACACTCCAGGCCCCTGGCTGAAGCCGAGCCCCCACAAACTAACACAGGTTCTGATTGGCAGTCGGCTTGGTGGGCGGGGACTGGCAGGTGGGCTCTCTCTCTGATTGGCCACTCTGTCCAATAGTGAGAATGTTTTTTTTTTGTTTTTTTTTATTAGCTGAACTCTGTTTTTTTTCCTTGGCTACTTATAAGGGCTTTTTTGATAGGCCTGCTAAGAGAGGACCCACCTCTCGCTGCATCTGATTGGATGACAGCAAACAATTTTTTCTGATTGGAGGACAACAAGCAAGCAGACAGAGTTGTTTCTGATAAACTGGTGGGTGGATTTTGAGGCCTCTGATTGGCCAGTGGCTTAACAGTTGCACACAGAGCCAATACCTGAACCAACCATCTATTTTACCCATCATCCCTCAGTGCGTCCAGAGACTTGGATCATTATGTTAGATCAGCTGTTTTTGGGATTAACTCAGGTGGTCCTCTTTTATCCAGGGTAGATCACCATGGTAACTGATGCTACCTGTTCCAGAGTGGATGAACTAAGCCTGACTACTGACCAATCAGATCAGTGAGTCTAATTACCTACAGGAGCCTGTCAGGGACAAATGTTTATAACAAAGAACAACAGATCTTTTTAAAGGGTTTAAGAGCATAAATGTGACTCAGCTGTATCCTGAGCTGCAGCAACTGTCACATGATTGGCTGCATCTGTGTCACATGATGTGGAAACGTCACCAGAGTCAGTCAGAAACCAGCGTCACCACCAGTTGATATCAGGATCACTCATACTGGACTGATGGTGCACGCTCCGGGCATCATCCTCTGAACTATTGTATGCAAACATGTGAACCTTTCAGCCCTCCACCACTGACTGCTCTCTCCCTCTCTGTGTAACCTGAGCATGTGCATATCAATGGAATGATTTTTTATTTTTATAAAGCCAAATATTTAAACACTCAATGGCATTATTATTATCACTAGAGATGAAACAGAACCTGAGATGACCTGATGCCTGCTTGCTTGTAAAGAAGAATAAACACCAATGGAGCCATACACACTCACACAGATGTCAGGTCCAGCTGTGGTCCACTTGGCTCAATAAAGACAGTGTCACCGTGGCAACATGGCCGACAGGATGGATAGCGTGTTTCTATAGCAACAGCCATGGCAGAGCACGGACTGTGGCCAACAAGGCCAACGACCTGCAGCTCTGGATCATAAAAAGTGCCTCATTTTATTTTCAGCCTCCATCCTGCACACCGAGAGCACGGCTGCAGGCGGAGACACAGAACCACCTCCTCCCATCATACACCACCCGTCTGTGCCTCACATTAACTCACTGGCTTTATTTTAGCCTTCATCAGCATTTCAGCACATAGACCTCATGTCCACAGTCTCCATCTTGTCTGTCAGAAGTGAATTATTTCCATTACACATTTGTTTTTCCGTTAGCTAACTACTCAGTCTGTCTACACAGTACCACTTCAGGTTTCCCACAGACAACATGAGCACCTTTCATTCCTGCATTAATTGCTTTGAGTTGCAGCTACAACAGTTAAGTCAATGAATTGACCAAGTGTCTCAGCAACGTCTTCTACTCTATTGACATTCTTCAGTGGTACATCAGAATTAAATATCTTTCCTCCAGTGCACAGATTAAAAACTAGAAATATATCTATATTGCAAAGAGAAAATGAACTATAATTATATAAAAAGAAAAATATAATCTAATAATTGTTTTGTTTAAAGCAAAAATCATATCTCTTGTTCCTGCTTGTCAAACTTGTCTTGCATGGTCAGAAATTAAATATTGGGACTGTTGGTCAAACAAAACAAAGTCACTTTGGGCCGTTAAAATTAAACAGGGTGTTTTCACCATTTTATAAACAAAACAATGTGTTAGAATCGCTCACCCATGGGGAGTGAGCGAATAAAGAACGGACCTAGATGGCTGACTTCGGTGCAAAGGATTTAATGGGTGCTATACAGTATATACAAGTGCAGTAGGTGTAACAACAGAGAAGGGAAAATATGGTCTATGGAACCGGGTGCCGACCAGCACGGTGACAGTCAATCGGGGGTATTAGAGTCAATGGGCCGAGCTGTGGAAACAAGAAAAGGTCACTCACTGGCTGGTCGGTGGAGGTGGAAACAGGTTGCAGAGACGCAGTAGTAGACGGTGAGGAGTAGAGGTGGTTTAAAGGACTGTGCATTGACCTGGGCTGGTGGAGGCTGGAAGGGCAGTGAGGCGTCCGGGGAAGGCTGCTCATGGCGGCAGTGATAGGAGGAACATGATACCAGGACGAGGAACCGGGAGTTAGGCAGGTAAAATCCAGGATACACACTACAGGGAATTAAAAAGGCGTGAAAGAAAGAAACAGGGCTGGTTGTCAGCAAGAGAGTAGCGAAAGAACTGGCAACTGAAAGGAATGTGAGCTGGGCTTAAATAGAGTGAAGGACTAAGTGAATGCAACTAGTACTGATTAAGAAATGTGTGGCAGGTGTGCAAAGTGGAGTGAAGATAGACAGACGAAGAAAGAAAGGGAGACGAA